GGCAGCCGAGTTGGGAGAGGCGCGTGTAGAGGTAGGTTGTTAGTGGGACTGTAGTGGATTTGGACGAGGGAGGGGGCTGAGGAGTGGTGGTGGTGATTGTGGAAGGAAAGGAGGGCATGTTGCGTGGGATATCTGGATAGATGAGCAGACGGATGAGAGGCCAAAATGAGGACAGAGAAAGAGACAACGAAAATAGGAGAGAGGGGTAAGATAGTAAGATAGGGAGATAGGAAGACGGGAAGATAGGAAGATATGGGGTCGAGTAGATTAGAGAATAGTAAATGTGATACTGTGACCCGCAACTGTGATAGTAACGGGAAACATGCAATTTTGGTACAACGTGGTAAACCGAGAACGACAAACAGGACTACAAGAACAGAAAGTGATTGTGCTTGCCCAAGCGCAAACGAAGGATAAAGAATCAAGATAAGACTCTGGTTGGAGAAGGAAAGACGCGGAAGGAGAAAGTTGTTTTTCTTGGTTGCTCACTTCAATCGCAGCCTCGGTAAAGGAGCTGTTCGGCTATCCGCGGTATTGAGTAAGCGGAAAAGACGGAATGTTAGCACGTCTACATGCTCTGTCAGCAGCTTGGAGGGGCGGAGACACGAGTTGTACTTCTTTGACTTGACCATCAACCAAGTCAAGATATTTCAATGCATGTAAGATTAAGAATTGTTGACTAAAAGACCACGGCCCTCAGAGGACCGGAGGACCGTAAACTAGCTACTGTCTGACAAGAACCAAAACTATAAAATACCAAAGCTACCAGAATACAAAGTGCCCATCTGCCAGACGCATAGAAGGCGTCAAGTCACTAAGCTCAAGTGGCGATGAAGTATGTCTATTCTCTGTCCGCCTTGAAGACGACAAAACCTCTGTTATATATGTCTGCAACTGGCAGGTGCCTTTCAGGCACGTAACTTTGATCTTAGAGTTAGTCTCTTTATATTGTATGAATCGTAAAACATTCAAAGCAGAGATAGAAGAGTAATTAAAGATCTACGAACCTTTAACTGGAAGTCGAGTTTTAGTTAAGGTTTCTAGGGTCGGAGAGTCTGTGTGTGCGGGAATGGTTTAGCACTTCTAAACCCTTTGCATGTTTGGACCACTTAGGTTAGATTGGGAGCGCGAGAAAGTCAAGAACCTTTTTGCCTAAGTTAGATGAAAGAGAATCACAAGAAAAGCATCAAGGTCGATTCCACTCTGAGTGACTTCGAGGTCTGAGCGAAAAAATGCCAAATTTGTCGTGGATGTTCCTCGACCAGCTACGAACCAAGGATGCACTTTCTCCATACCAGCGCTGGACGCTGTGGCATTCTTGTTCAAAGACGTCGCTGATTCAGAACCAGACATCCCAGAGAATAGATATGCACATCTTTCGCACCGATAGGGCGCCGATATTGACCAAGTGACGTTTGCGGATATACACGAATCCAGAGACATCTCGCACAAGAAAGGCTTTGTCAAACTCCAAAGGTTCTGCCAAAAGGCGTCCAGATGGAATTGTGCCTACGGCTAGGCTAATACATACTACATAATACAGTCCCACCACTAGTGACAGTACCCTACGAAAAGGGCCGTATCTGCCGGCGAAAACGACGGAGTCGTCACCCAGCTTTAACTACTGATGTCACCAAGCCAGATGTGATTGACACGGCAGTAATAGAGAAAGGTGGACCTGGTGGTCAGCCTGCTCTCTTATATATTGATTTACGCCACCACCATCAAATTTGCTGTTCGCAAGAAAAGAAATATGGCCACAGCGTCGTATGCTTCGTCCGTAATGTCAGAGCCAGAAAAGAAGTGAAAGAGCTCGGCTTTAGTCCAAGGATTGGCCATTTTTACGCCGTAAAGGTAAGTAAACAAAAATAAATAATAATAGGAGACTACGGATACATACTCCGTACTACTCCAAGCGATGGCCCTGTCAAGCGTGCATGTCACTCGCACGCCCCGTAGTCAAGGTATTCCCGCCGCCCAGGATACACCCAAGGATCAGCATCGCCGAATTTCTCCGGGACAAGACCCTCGCTCCCTGGGTTTCCATACCCGGCAGCAGCCTGTCTCCTATAGCTTTCCATGCGCAGCCTGGTAGCTTCACGCGGTGTCAGGGTGAGGTAGAGCTCGATGCCTGCCATGTTCAAGGCGATGGAGACCCAGAAGGCCATGCCGACGGGGACTTGGAAGCTGGCGCCGATCTCTGCAGGGTCAGTGCTGCTGAATATATTTGCGAGCACGGGTGCGAAAGTGCCGTTGATTGCGGAGTTGTCGGCGCATTGAGGGTATGATTGGAGGTAGTCGTCGGCGCCATAGCTCTTCCAGGTCCACTCAATCATTTCACAGGGCCACACATTTCGGTATTCCCCCAGGCTGGAGACTATCACGGCTGAGAGCGCCAGCACCACTCGTGCTGTGAGGATGGTGCCCATATAGACCATTGTGCGGAGCATCCAAGCCCGATGCTGATCGATTTGAAGTCGTCGGATGTTGTAATAAGCTAGAGCCGCGCCAATGGTGGTAATCATGACAAGAAATCCGACAGCGCTTTGGATATCGATTGTGCCACCAAAGCTGTGTCGGGCAATCATCAGTGCGCCGACGTTGGCGATTAGAAGCAGCGCCACAACGATGCGGCCGTTGATCCGGTGAAAAGAGGGCATCGCCTGCCTAATGGCCGGTACAAACTGTAGAACTGCGAGAATGGCGCATGGCAGAATCGCAGCGAGGTGAATAGATATCCCGACTCGTCCGCTGCCTTTCTGAAACCAATACATTTCTCCGGGGGCTGTTTGAGATACCTGGATGCCGTGGATTGTGAAGCATTGAAGGAGCTGAGAAAGAGCGAAAAGGAAAAGCGGCGAGGCAAACATGCAGAAGAAAAGGGCATTATAGGACTTTTTGAAGCCGAGAAAGGCATATAGTCTCTGCCAAAGTAACATGATGAAGCTTCCCAGATGATCAGAAGTAAACAACGACCGACAGTGCAACCAGAAGGCTCTTGATGTTAGGATGAAAGCTCGTTACTATGAAGGAAAGGCAAGATCCAAATCGGATAAAATCAAAGAAAGTAATGTCTTTCCACCAGGCAGCAGCCGCAAGGTCGAATAAATGGTGGGTGATGGATTGCGTACTTACCACCATAGGCCACCATAGGCCACCACCATCGTATCCGCTTCCGGGTTTAATATCTGCCTAACCGGCGTCAACCACAATGTTGTTGCAAATCTAATGGGCCATATTCTGTTGATCCTTAGGGCACGATAGGGCGTTGGAATGGTTCTGATTGATTTGATTGAATCTCGCATACTAGTAGTAGGGAGGAGAAGAAGCTGCCCACCAGCAACAAGAGCTAGTAATCTGAGAAGTAGCGCCAAGCAGGGCTACCAGAACGCACGTGACAGGCGTCCAAATCTTGTGACAACTTGGCGCGAGGCTGAGCTTGACTTCTTTTGCTGCCTCCAGATCAGCTGGTGAATGTTCCTGCACTTTACATACAAGCTTAAGGAGTCTTGGATCCCGGTTTACACGGTGTTTTATATAGGTTGGTGTTACTGTACTCGAACGGGCTAACTGGTAGCAGAGTAGTGATGGGTTGGTTGGTAAGGTAGGGGCGTATCACAACTCGAAGTCAGTCACGTGAGGTACACTATAAGTATGATGACATGAGTTGACGACGGAAGAAGGAAGGAACTCTCCAAGCTATGGAAAGGTGTCCGTTGATAAGAACAAACTTGAAGGGAATTCGTTGCTCGGTCGTGCCCAGGGAGCACACTGAGCATTACCTTCGTAGCTTAGTGACCACAGTCAAGAAGCGCCGCCCTAGTAACCTCCTCTCAGTTCGTGCTGCTCCGTGACGCTACTGTCACTGAGCTGGTTCTATCACGGTCTCTTGGAAATCAAACTAAGCTCTCAGATAATAATAATAATGAAATAATTTATCGTACGAGGCTTTCTGTCCTAAATGGCGGTGGCAGTGTGGATACAGGAGGAAACTCTCCTCCAACTAAATGCTGCCTCAGTTCCTCAGACGGGCTTAGCGGGCTGCGCCACACACGCCATGCTCGAAATGGGCTTGTTGCTGACTACGCGATCTTACGTCTGAGCCCTTGGCTTTGGTGCAAATGCTACAATTTATCAACTTTTCCGTCTATTACAACCACAACAACACCACCACAGCGGTGGATTCATCAAATCAAATACATCTTTGATCAACTTTATATTAGATTCAATAACAAATCTGGCCGAAATAAGAGTTCTTGTCCCTACGTAGTCGTGAACATGTGGAACAATGGCTGCATAGTCAACCACTAGCCTATTCCATGATCGCGTGTGTAGCATGCCCACTAAACCCGTCTGAGCGACTCGGGCAACACAGGGGCTACATCATGAGCAGGAACTGAAATGTCAATCACACAATGGTCTTCAGTTTAGAGAGTGGTGTAGTTGACTCAGATAGGGGATCAATCTACATATGATCGTCTAGTCGTGCTCAACGTGGAGATCAGTCGCGGCTCAGCTCACAAGATCATACGCAAGCGAACAGCTATCAATGCAGGGAAAGGTGAGGTCCATGAGCACATGATTTGTAATGATTTGTAATGATTTGAATTCTGTCCAGCATTATGGTACAGGCGAGTTCCATTACCAGGTCGCTCCTAGCTTGGTTATCCAGCTCGAAATGTGACATGCCACTGTCGAGATTAGCTCTGCAAATAGCTCTGTTAAAGGCACGTCTCTCGCATCTTTGGTAGAAACAAACAACAATGAAGCAACTGTCGCTGGTCTACGACAGCAAATGAAAGCAAGTCATCTTGTCTACCTCCCGGGTCAGAGGGTCAGAACTTCCCACCATCTCACAGAAGTCATCCCATACGTTGATTACCATCATCATCCAGGCGCACCAGACTCCTGCCTAAACATTATCTGAGATCCGTGCGGTCTCTTTCTCTTCACAAAGCAACACCAGGCATAGAATTTTGAGCCTCTGGTTTTGGAGGCTTCCAACCTGGCGTTGGATCTTCACGACCTAGTGGACTTGCACCAGGTGGGCTATTTCGTCTGGCCTGAACAGCACTAGCTGAATTGCTTCGCCGTCGTTGATTTGGGGACATGGGCACTGGCCCTGAGTTAGCAAGGTATGGACCGGGAGATTCGCTTCGTTTTGGCTGTTGCATGTGCGGACCACGAGCGACTGGACCTGGTGACAGCGGACGAGGAGCCTGGTTGAATTGACCAGGAGCCATCTGGTGTGAAGTTTGTGGCATCATTGTAACTTGACTGGGACTGGGTGGTGAGAAGGGTCGATTGCTGTTTGCTGTTCCGGGTCGAGATGGCCCATTACTGCCAGCAGGTGATTTTGGACGGAAACCTGGACCGCCAGCAGGTGACATCGGACGACCAAGAGCGGGACTCATTGAACGCCCACCATTGGGAGTCATCGGTCGTCCAGTTGGACCCAGTCGTGGAGAACCATTGGCTGGACGCGGTTTGACAGGGCGCGCTGAAAGACAGGTTCGAGGAGCAACACCCTGTTGAGAACGATCAAGACGAACACAGAGAGCCTGGTAAAGTATGTTAGCCGGTGAAATGGATCTATGAAGATAGTGTTGACATACCCATCCATCATCATACTCGTGCAAAAGTCGGACAAGCTGGCCAGAGCGAAGCTCAAGTTCATCTTCCATGGACGGTTTAAAGTCAATTTGAACGCGATGGACATTTCCTGGAGGGGGACCACCTGCTGGACTACCTGGACGGTTCTTGGGATGACCATTACCATTCTTTCCAGCTCCAGCGGCAATAGCGGCACCAGCAACGCCGGCTGCACCAACAGCAGCGCCCACAGTAACAGCACTAACAGCAGCCGGGGCAGGCCCATCCGCAGACATTGGGGGAGTAACCGTTACGTCAGGTGGTGATTGAGCAGCAGCAACTTTTGATTGGTCACCAAAGGGGTTGACAGGGTCCTTGAAAGGATTCCCAGCGCTCTCACCGCTCTCACCGCCTGCACGGCGTTCCCATGGACTGCCGCTAGGGTTCTCAGGAGTTAGGTTGCGACTGGCACCAGCAGCAGCCATGCCTGTTGGTTGGTTGGTTTTGTTGAGGGGATTGCCGCTCAGCCCCTTCTTGGCGCCAGCAAGATCAGGGGTGAATTGAGTGACAGGACCAGGACTAAGACGAGATGCAGAAGCATCTTGATTTTCTGACTGAGCACCAAATGACTTTGCGCTCTGCGGCTTGCTGGCCATAGCTCCCACAGTGTTACCAAATCCGGTCTTTTCATCATCTGTCTCTTGCCATTTAGTGCTTTTCTTCTTTTTCCAAATCAACCACAGAGCACCGCCGGCAATTAGACCGATGACTGCGATTATACCGATGGCCAAACCAGCTTTGCCACCAGAAGACATGTCTTCGGAAGAGGATGCTGCCGCTGCTGCTGCCGCCGTGGATGAAGGAGTCATGCTTGCAAGCGAACGACTGACACCAATAGTGCTCGATTTTGGCAGGTAGGAAGAGAGGAGGGTTGAGGATGACACAGCCAAAGCTACCGAAGATGCCAAAATCGACGAAGGAGCTGCTGATGAGTCGGCAACAATAACAGCTGCTGTATTGCTGGCCGGTGATGGTATATATGTTGTGGCTGGCTCGAAATTGGTAGATGATGGTGCTTGAGCTGTCGTTTCAACAAATTCCACCGTACTGCTTGCCGGTGACCAGACGGCCTGACTACTGCTGGGCTCAAAGTTTTGTGGTTGATCGACAGTATACGTGAAAGATGGCTCGGGGGAGGGCTCAGGAGAAGCCTCAGGAGTTGGATCAGTCAGGGTGACATAGCCGCCCACATCACCTGTGAACGTGGGAGATGCAGTAACAAAAACGACAGAGACGACGTTTGAGACGGGATCGTTGACATTGTCAGTGACGGATGTGCTGGCGGCACTGGTTGTGGTATCGATATTGGTATCGCTTTTGCTATTGCCACCACCTTTGCCATTCCCATTCCCATTGCCTTTGCCGTTGTCTTTGCTATTCCCATCTGATTTCTGAGGGTCTCTGATAACAATGTTCCCGATCTCGTTATGCATCTCGTGCAGGCTGCGGTGACGAAGGTGACGAATATACCCCATCGCGGACGATCAGGCAAGGTAATGAGGCCCTCCAAGAGTCTGGATATTAATGTGATTTACAGATCTGACCAAACTGTGGAATTTTTGGGCGGATATTCAGAATTCTCTCTGTGGGTCGCGCGCACCTGGGCGAAAAAGTGAGCGGAAATGAACGGGTCGACCAGGAGAATCGATAATCAGGTGAAAGAGTGTATGCGTCTGTTGATTGCCGATAAACGAAGGACGACAATCAGCGAGTTCGCGCTGTACAGACTCAGCTGTAGGCACAGGTGAAGGTGGTGAGGTAGGATGACGCCTGGGGAGAAGAGGGAAAGGTGGAAATGGCCGGCCAGGAGGCCAGGAGGAGGAGGAAATGCCGTTCCCCTCTCTCCTTACGAGCAGGACCCTAAGCAGGACCAGCAGAAGGACAGGGTCTGTTGTCAGGTCTGGGGGTAGTTACTGGAGAAGGGCAATCTGGATAGAGGAAATTAAAGTTCTAGTGCCAGCTCGGCGTGGAGAAGTCAAGGTGTTGATTGGTCGGTGTTCCTGACTTGTAGCCATAAAAGTGATTTTGGCTCCGCACACCATCAGTTTAGGCTTCCACTTAGCCGGGTAGTCCCTGTGTCCCTGAGATTACCCTCCACAAGCTCCAACTTAGCACAATCGCCATTGTCCGCCGCCTCTTCACTCAACCAATCATTTTTCCGTGATCCACAGATTCAGCGGCACTGGACCACTCATTTCGCTAGATACTGCAGGCACCAGGTTTAGGTTTCGGTTTCCGAGGTCTGTTTTCTATGTGCAGGGCATTTCACTTGAGCAGAAGAGAAACAGAAATATGTGGAGAGAGAAAAGGCAGTGGAGAACCCCAAGCAGAAACACTGCAAGAAGATCGATTATCATCCTCACTTGGAAGCCATCTGCGAACGTAATTTTATGATGTCTATCAGCAGTTATTATTTGAGTGCGCCGAGGTCAGCGGCTATGCCCCTGCCAAGTTGCTCGTTCTTGCTTATCTACTAACTAGCAATAGTAGTAGTTCTCCGATTGTGAGACATGGTAAGATTAAGATTACGGAGTGTGAGCCAGTGTGTCGCCATCGGTTCAGATGCTACTCCGCATGTCTGCTAAGGATACAGCTCATTTGTTCAGGGCAGAGATATGAATAGGGCTGGTTTGATGCAGTTAGAGTATGCAAATGAGCGCATGCAGCCATGTGTACACCTAGAGCCCAGAAGTCTGGTCGATCAGCCGTTCAGGGGCCGAAACCATGTTCGTTGAATCAACGTTCGGAGACAAATTGTGAGGAGTGAGCACGTCATGACTCAGTGCACGGGAAGCTTTGGCTATGAAGCGTAAATACCCAGCAGAGCACTCCGTATAATCCTGGCAATAAGGATGGTAGATAGGAAGGACTACGAGGAAGAGGCACATATGATGATGGAAGCCATAATCAAGTTATGTAAGCAACTGAATCTCTCCCCAACTCTAAAGCTGCAGATGTCCGCAAAAGAAGTCATCCCATACTTCTCTAGATGACAATCAGCTCCTCTTGAACCACCTCAGCTGCAATGCAATCAATATCACCGGCAGAACACTGAACAACTCACCCAGCCCAGCGTACTGAGGAGGAATCCGCACATTGACAAAGGCTCCAGCAGCAAGCAGGATGGCAAACGTATTGTAGACAAAGGACCAAGAGAAGTTGAAGATGATCCGGCGGAAAGCTGCTTGGGAGAGATCGATGAGGATAATTATGCCAAAAAGAGCAGGCCTCACGAGGACTGCATCAGCGGCACTCTGGGCCACATCTGTCCCGCTGTTCATGTGAAGGCCGATATTGGCTTGAGCAAGGGCCACGGCGTCATTGGTACCGTCTCCACAGAATAACACAACCTTTTCCCCATCCTTGTGATCCATGATAGCTTTGACATATCTCTGCTTGTCCCTAGCTGAATACCTTGATCTCACCTGGAGAGGAGAAATCCCAAGTTGATGTCCAATCTTTCGCACTGCGCCATCGTCATCTCCACTGACAAGTGAGACGGCAATATCACGCCGTTGGAGCTCGGCCACAATAGACATGGCATCTGGTCGTAGCGAATCATCCAGGCCGTAAACAGAGAGTAGGTCTCCGTCAAGCGATATGCAGAAGACCGTGAGGCCTTGGGAAAGCAACGATGTGACTCGTGGCACGCCCCGGACATCCAGCCACCGAGAATTACCTCCACGAACACTCACACCATTCAAGGTGCCTTCCATACCACTGCCTGTCACGGATTTCATGTTCTCGATGAGGACGGGCTCAACACCTCGCGCCTGAAGATGAGCTGCTAGAGCTGCAGAGACAGGATGCTTGCTGTTCATCGTGAGCCCAAGAGCGATAGATGCGGCAACTGATTGGGACTCAGAAAAGTGGTCTTCGGCCAAGACAGACAGCTCTCCCTTGGTAAGGGTGCCAGTCTTGTCAAAGACGACGTGGGAAACCTTTCGTGCTATCTCCATCGTTTCAGCTGTTTTGAAAACCACACCATGTTTAGCGGCAACACCACCAGCAATAACAACCACCATCGGCACTGCCAACCCTATAGCACAAGGACAGGAAACAATAAGTACCGATATCGCATAGGTCATAGCATTCACTGCTGCCGAACCTGTGGACCGGTGCTGGATGGCTTTGCCTACTGCAATCCAGATGACAAAAGCGATCAACGAAAGGACTACAATGACTGGCACCAGGAATGATGCAACACGATCTGCAAGCTCCTGTATTTTGGGTTTGGAGAATTTTGCTGCATCAACCATGGCTGCAATCTCGCTGATAGTGTTTTCACCGGGCAAGCGCGTCAAGCGGACTATGAGCGTTCCCGAGCCATTGACACTCCCTGCAACGATACTGGAACCCGGAGATTTCTCAACTGGGATGACCTCGCCAGTCACGTTTGATTCATCCACTTCACTTTCTCCAGATACGACAATCCCATCTGTCGGTATCCGAGCATCAGGAATGACCTTGAATGTATCACCGTACTGTAGCATTCGAGCATCAATCTTCTGACCGCCTCGACCATCACTGTCGACGAGTAGCGCTGTACCAATCTGCAGAGACCTTATGGAGATCGACTCGACAGCCTTGTGTCTAGCGAATGCACTCACCAAACGCCCAAGCATAATTAGAGTGACAAGTAATGTGCTCGTTTCGAAAAAAGCGTGCGTTGACAGCGGACGCCCTCGTACTTGATATCCAAACGCTATGACAGAGAATATGTATGCTGCAGAGGTGCTCAGAACAACAAGCAAGTCCATCTCAATCACGCGAGTGAATAAGAGAGCTTTGATCGCGCTTGGGTAAAATGGTCCAGCAACAACAATCTGCACAACCGTCGCTAGTATGAGCGAGATCGCGCCGTACAACACCTCATGTTCGGGCAGCGGTGCCCAAGCCAGGATGAGTACAGGTATCGTCAGCATGGTAGAGAGGGCTGTCATAAATGCCGCCCTCCGGACTTGTTTAATGCCAGACTCAACTTCTGGGTGAAGCCGGGGAGGAGCGAGGTTTATTGGCTGATCAAACAAGTAGTCGAGTAGATCTCTGGCACCGACGAATTTAGCGTTGTATGTAATGCGAACTGTCTGCTTATTGAGGGCGAGCAACGACTCTACTCCGAGAGGTCTTTTTCGATTGATGAAATCTCTGGCGTCGCCAGAAACCCGTATATCCAGACTCTGTCCATGAGTGCTGATTCTATGACAAGTGAAACCAGTTGTTTTTGCAATATATTGAATGATTTTGTCCACGGACCCGGCGGCCGAATCAAGGTCAAATTCCGCTTGTGACATGACAAGACTCGTCTGGACATTGTGAACTCCAAGAATTGCATCAAGAGACCGGAAAAGCTTGTTCTCGCAGCCCGCGCAAGTAAGACCTTCCACATTGAGGGTGACGTGTTCGATGATTGTTGTAGCACTCTCAATGTCTTTAGAATCGAGTCTGATATACTCTTCTTGGTGATCAGAGTCGATGCGCCAGACGTCCTGCAAGCAACTCTTGTTAGTGTCGCATGAGGAAGTCTCAGCATGGATGTCCTCCTCTTTGCTGCAGCAAGACTTCTGCAAATATGGTCGGTGTGGCGAAGAGGAGGTGTTTGATGTACAACGATCCCGCCCTGCGTGTGGTGTTCCTCCGCAACAAGCTGCCATTTTTCCACGAAGTTCTGCCTCGCGGCCCCAAGTCCTAAGCTCCTCCTCCTCCAGCAGGGGATTGCAGCACCATAGGTTCTTTGAGAGGTAAGTCAATTGGGAGCACAAACTCTGCTATCAAAAGTTCAGCTCTGAGAGGATCAGTTCAAAGACCAGTGCATTCGATCTCGAATGGGGAACAGCAGTGCCTTGAGTCACCTGCAGATGGAGCTTCCCGGATTCCCAGGTTTGCCTCCTTAGGAACAGCATATTCATTATGAACGTCGTCCAGATGCTTGCTACTTGCTTGGTATCGCTCGGGACCGAAAGAAGTGAAGAATTTTCGTTCTCCTCATAGACTTCGGAACTTTTCTGCTGCAATACGATGGGTTTTAGTTTGCTTTGACGAACACTCTTACCTTTTAGCTTCTGTTCCTGCATCTGGCCGCCTGTAGGTTGTGTCACCAATTGCTATTGCATTGCGCTTTAACGCAGATACCTCTTATATCTGTTCCGATCCGCGGAAGCTGAAGTCAACAAAACTGTCATTGCAACTTGCATATGCTTTTCAGCATTCAGGTTGCGCCGGATAGTGAATAGCATCCACGGTGGAGACTGATGGAGGCGATCTCCACCGAGGTCAACAGACAAAACAGAGTGCTTTGCAAGTGGCGGACGATACCTTATTGTCGAGCAAAGGCCAAGGAGTGAGTATTGACGTCGAACTTGAAACATAACCGTCGTAGTAGGTTTGCAACAAGCTTTGCACCAACCCAATGTGGTAAGCTGTCATTCACGCTCCCGCTCTGACTTCCGACTTCTGCTCGGACGTTTTCGTTCAACGTTGATTGCCTATCATCATGACGGCCTTAGGATGGTAGAAACGAGGCACTTGTGGTTGGCAGGATTAGCTGCCGAGGGACAAGGAGCTTCAATAGGCACCGCTCGTTTGTGCATCACTCATCGTCACTCAACCCGACATGGCCGGGTAAAATCAAGGTAGACAGCGAAGCATGAACTGTTCAGAGCCATTGCACTGTTATTGAGGCATGGAGGTTTCTCTTCCCAAGCACGCTTTTGGTGCTACAACTTACTCCTTAGTAGCTCCACCACTCCGTCATGTAGCTCCCCACCATCCGATTTTGTGGCCACCTTTGCTATCTTCGGGATCTGATCTTCTCCTACCCGGTATTCGGATAATTCTGTCTCCAATCCAAGCCTATCAACAAGCTCTTCAATCGCATTCCCTACCTTAACCGCATCCCTCCCTATCATTTCCAGTCCTCGATCCTTTACCTGTAAACGGCAAAGCCCTCGCAATCTGTTTCGTCTCAGCGGAATTATTTGCCTTTAGCTTCACCACACCCGCAAGCGTGATGCAGCTGGTGATGCCGTGGGGTATGCCATAATTACGGCGAGCCGAGCGCATAACCAACAGTGTGACTGAGACCTAGTCCACTCTGAACGTTCGTGCCCAGTGGATACAGCGAGCTGAAGGCCGCCAGCTGCAATTCTGTGATGTAGTGCTCGTTCTTGAAATCGTTCTTGCTTTTCGGTAGACACTCGAATGACACTCGAATAGTTGCCCAGTGCGGTCAAGACCAGCTGCTTGGCCGGCACTTCGGTAGCTGTGGGGTGGTACAACATTTCCACTGCATGGTCGACTGCACGGATGCCGGTTGAGAGCCCCAGCTTCTGTGGTGTATGCATGCCAAATTGAGCATCGTAGATGATGACGTGCGGTGCGAGCCCCGGATCTGCAACACCTATTTTTGTGCCGTCATCTCTGGTATAACCTGCACCAACGGTGCATTCTGCGGCGCTCAGGGTTGGTTGGGATAGTGATGTGGGGGAGAAACATGTTGGACTTTTCATGGAGGCGGTAGGAAATGGCCTTGGCTGGGTCAATGGGACTTCACCACCAACACTGATCAGAGTATTGACCGCGGAGTCCTTCGTGACGGCTTCTGTCGCTTCGTCAAGCTGTGCTACCGGTGCATGCTGTTTGATATTGGCAAACGTGCCAGCGTGGTGGTCTTTGCCTGGTATGTCTTCCACTTGCTTAACCAAAGGCGTTCTCTGTGCGAGAGATGACCCAGTAATAATGAAGGCTTTTGACTCCGGAGAGGGTAGACACCATAATAGATGCTTTCTGACAGATCCGGAGCCATAGTAGAGAGCTTGGAGCCGTGTTGGCTGCCAGCAGCCTGCTAGCGGGTGATCTGTTGATTCTGCCATCTTTTTACCCTGCCCTCTAGACAGCCAACAAAGGACAAGCTGCCCTTAGGACTTTTTTCTCTCAAGTACTAGGAGTAGAGTAGAGAGAGCAAGGCAGCATAGTAATCATTTGCAAGCTATTTATTCGACTGGCGACTATCATCGATTAATAATCACATGTGACGTAAATAGCCTCACCTCGACTGTTAACTTGAAGTCTGTACGGAGTAACCAGTCATGCAACATTCAGATGCTGGACGACATCATGAGCTTCAAAGCCCGGCAAGCGAATGCTCTCAGGATGAGGACCATTGTGTTCAGCCAAATCAAGTATCCTTCTCGAGTACAAATCCCCATAGCGGGCCCAGAGCACGGCGAGCATGGAGGTAAAGGCAGGGGTTAGCGAAGCTTTTCAACAGCGCTGCTTGTGGCTGCCGCTTACTACGTACACAATCATTATTTATATGCGGAAAGGTCTTCCTTCACTAGGTCCTCCTGGGTGGTAATGATTTATTGGCCAATCGCTGCTTTTCTGCGAGTCACCTTTCTTCTGCTCTGGCGATTCCGGTGTAGAGGTCAAAGACGGGTCAACCACATTGCCCTTGCCGTACGATCCCATGCTCTGCGTCAAACCTTAATCAGTCCCCTATTTGTTCATCGAAGAATTGATCCAGATCCATTCCCATCGACTCAACTTCGTTGGAGACTCTCAGATGTAGACCGGGAATGTAGCCGAGGATGTAGAGCAAGGCACATGAGACCACGAATGAGTAAGCTGAGATGGCCGTGATTTCTGCAAGTTGCTTTACAACCTGAATGCCATTCCCGTCAATGCCGCCGGATGCCAACGTGGCTCCATCCAGAGATGAGATCGATGAAGTGGCGAAAATGCCGGTCAGGAAGGACCCCATCATGCCACCAATTCCATGGAGCTTGAAGACATCAAGTCCTTCGTCGATACGGATCCACTTGTTGATATCTTGTAACAATGCACATACAATGGCAGTCAAAAACCCTATCAATGCGGCAAACCAGACAGAGACGTAACCAGCTGCGGGCGTGATACCTACAAGACCTGCTATGGCGCCCTCGCAAGCTCCAACAATAGAGAACCGACGTCTGTGCTTGATGTAATCAACAAGGACCCAGCCGAGCACACCACAAGAGGCAGCGGTATTAGTGTTGAAGACGGCTAGCATAGAGCGAAGGGTACCGTTGAGGCCCGAGCCTCCCTGTTGCGGCATGAGAACGGGATGGAGTGCATTGACTACCTCTGCTAGAGACTTACATTGAATCCGAACCAACCAAACCAGATGAACATAGTTCCAAGGAAAACGAGGGAAACATTGTGTGGCTTGCCGTACGACTTTTCGCCCTGGTGCTTGCGTTTTCCGAGGACGAATGCATAAGCAAGCGCCGACCAGCCCGAAGAGATATGCACCGGTCCACCGCCAGCAAAATCAAGACTCGGTAGGTTGTAAAGCCACCCGTTCGGATTCCATGTCCAGCAAGCGATTGGGCAGTAGACGATCGTGGCCCAGAAAAATCCAAACACAAGAGATGGGATTATTCGGCCACGCTCAAACGAGCCTCCCACTACGATCATGACGGTACAAGCACAGAACAACAGTTGGTAAAGACAGAAGACCAGGTCAGGTATATATGGCGAGCCGATGGACGGCGCAAACCCCACCTTGATCATGCCAAAATGCGCGAGGTTCCCAATGAAAGGTCCGGCAGTTCTGGAATAGGCGAGGGAATATCCCCAAAACATCCATTGGAATGTTATGACAGCAGCGACCAGAAGGGATTGAAACAGCATTGCGAGGGCCGACTTCCTGCGCGAGAGACCACCATAGAGGAAACCAAGACCCGGAATGATTAGCCAGACGATGAAGCCGCAGAAAACTAGGTAGATGTAGTGGTATTCGAAGCCGCTGTATTGTGCATTCACGTCGACTTCCAGCGGGTTGCCACCCGTCGGCATCGACTCATCAAAGGCTGGCTGCATCGTGACAGTCAGAATGTGGTTATAACGAAAGCAGATTCAAAGAGACTTACTGGGTCCATTTTGATATAATGCTATATGACCGACGCTGAGCGGAGAGAATAGGTCGGTATGAGAGGATTCCTTTGGGGGAGATAATCTGAGGCCCTATACGGAGTACCTACAGGAGCAGTCAAGGGAGAGGAGGCAGCCATGTGGAGGATAAGAGAGCTCATATCTAAATAGAGCAAGCATCCTCGTATTACCACGAGCTCGCTTGATATCCGAGCTACGCGGTGCTACCTAATCTCGACCCTGAAGTTTTCGGAAAGGTATCAATTTGGATATCAATTGGAGTCATAATTGCTGGCTTATCAGGTGCCAGAGATAAATGCTGGAGTCTTGATAGCTTGGTGACACCATCCGAAGCAGCCTGATGCCGAGCAGATGGCCATGAAGACGAAGGGAACTCTCTGGCAGCCATTCACCACTGTATGGCATTGTCAGGGGGCATTTGGGATGTTAGGGTCAGGAGCACAGCACAACTTACTACGTACACAGTATCCGCACTCCGTAAGCATGGCGTGAGATAAGGAACCGCGCTAGGTTAGGCCGAAAGGGGACCGCGTCTCCTGCGCCGCTTGTTATCTTGAACTACTCCGTACTCCGTACTCCGTATCATTTAATCACCAACTCGTGGGCTCGAAGCTAACACGTGGCTATGTCTGAGCACATAGTAGCACATACTGCTTGTGATTTATCATGTTGAGAGATTTCAGCGATCAGAAGATAATTCAGGAGGTCTCTCAGACAGCAACAGAACTATGAAGTGTTTCCCGTATGTATGATTGCAAACAGAGCCTCTACGATGTCCAGTGTCTCCATCGTTGGCATCTATAGCCCTCTTGACAGGCTGGACCTTTGTATGTGATCCAATCCAGGTTCGAGCCCGAAGAAACGAACAATAACCATATGGTCAGGCAAAACAGCAATCCTTTTCCCAGACTGCTAACGCCAATGCTAAGGTGACTAGGCTGTCAGAGCAACAGCTGTACCCAAATCTCAATATCGAGCTCTTCAAGGACATGGGTTGCAACAAGTCGGAAGAGCAGGCCAGCTCATTGCTCTCCCTCAAATCCAGCTGTCCCATCGCTCTGAATCAGCCCTGCTCATTGTCTAGTGACGACTTAGGGGTTTGGCCAATTCTCGGACACGCCCCAAGTCGATGACAGCCTGCTGATGTCGGTCACAAGCCACGTTCCACCATTCCCGCACTCTCATATCCTCCTCCATCCATTGCCTGTAGGCAGCGTAGCCTGCTTTCTGTTGACCGCTGCTGCTTGGATCGTCTTGGATCTTTCGGCTGATCTCCTCACCACTGGGTCCATCACCCAAAGCGCTCATCCAATTCGACGTCAGTGTCATATCCAACTGAGCCTGTCGTGCCTGGAAGTGGTCAAGCATCTTCTTGTTGAAGATACTCCACTCATGCATATAAGCCGACATCTCTAAGATGTAGCGTGCCCAGGCTTCCTGTGTCACGTTTTCCAGAGGTGGAATGACATTTTTGGGTGGTTTAGGTAGGTTGAGAGCTTTAAGCGAGGAGAAGGCAACTCCTTTGACCACAGTCTGAGATGGCCTTGCAGGAGATGCTTTGGACTCGAAAGGTAATGTGGTGTTCAAGTCCTTGAGGTCACCAAGTCCAGTATCCGAGGGTTTCAAGGGCGCTACATTCGAAAGGTCGTTGAGATTCACATCGGCAGCAGCGGTGTGGGAGGGATGCACGCCCGGAGTTTCAGCCGCTGAGGCGTGTTCCTTCTCCTTCGGAGTGGGGGGCAGGCGAGCAGCAGCCTCGGCCACCTCAGAGGGACTCGAAGCTACGTTGCTCGGAAGGGAATCGTCGATGTCCATAGGATCGATGTTTTCGTTGGCTTTTTGCTCAGATTCGGCAACACCAGCTTCAGGAGAAACAGAAGCTCGGTTCTCCACTGCAGAAGGTTCAGCCCTCGGATGCGTCTGCTGAAGTTTTGATGCAGGCACTTTGAAGCTGCGTTTGAGAGCCGTCGCTCGGTCGTCTTCACCTGAAGTAGCTGTCGCTTGATACCTGAGCTTTTCTGCCCAATCATCGGCAAATTTGCCAGGAACAAATGCTGCAGAAGCTGTGCTATGGTCCCGGGTACCGCCATTGATACCAGCGAAGAACTCTTTCGACGATTCTTTGATTGGAGACGTCTGACTTTTGCTGTGAGATTTCGCTCTCGATCTTGCAGGTCGTACGGGCGATCTTTTCGCATGGATCTCCGACGAGGTTGGTCGAAAGAGGTCCTCCACTCCTGCTAACTTGTCATTCCACTCGGAAGCGGAGAATTTTACGCTCACATTTTCCCGGCTGGCGCTTTGGAAGCTAGGCTCTTTTCGCAAATTGGTCGTGTCTACGTCGGGCGGAGAGCTGTCGGATAACGTGGAGTCAGCAAATCTTGCATGCTTGCGAGATGGCTCCACGAAAGTGGAGCGGAGTGTATCGGATCGCCAAATTTCAATCCGGTCACGCTTCTCTTCTCGGATTGTATCTAGGGTGTGCTTCTTTGGCGTGTCTTTCCGGGGGAGCACGCTGGAAGGCACTGCCCAAGAAGGAAATCCGTTCAGTGATGGCACACTTTTACTAGGTCTCGAAGGGGATACTCGAAAACTCTTCGACCACTCGTGGGGATAAGAATGAAAGGGGGCATACATATTGGGTCCATTGCCAGACGCTCCTGGCCCTGCATATTCATTTCCTGCACCGGACATGGGCTGCTGTGCCGTTGCACGCGTGCCAAGGTAGCCAGGAACATAATTAGACGCTGCTTGCGACGTATGCTGATTTCGAGGAGGAGGCGGAGGCGGAGGCGGAGGTGGTCGATACTGATGTTGGCCACCATCTGCATCCCGCGGAGTAGGTGGCTTGACATATTTTGTTCCAGGATATAGACTGCTGGATGCTGGGCCATCAGCTGCAGTTCTACCACCAAAATCGGATGAAGCTGGCTTCGAACGCATCTGCCGAGGTGTCGCTCTGGCCCGGGCTGACCATCTCTGCTCGTCTACATCTTCGTCACTACTAGTCCCAGAACTAGATGAGGAGCTGTCGAGTACTGGTGTTGGTCTCGACTTCGGGCTGCTACTGCGATACCTGACTGGGTTATCCCGCGAAAATGGAGAATGCAGACCATTCCGTTCGCTTTCATGCCACTTATGGTCAATGGGTGAATTCCGCGCGCTGGAAGATCTATGACCAATGCCTCCGTTAGTGACGTCGGTCCTCTCCCCACCAATTCCAGCGTAACGAGTCGAAATGCGCTCAAGACCCGGCCTCTGAGGCTCTCTACCTTCCTCGACGTCGGGAGAAGACCTGACATGTCTCAAAGGGCTTTTACCTGGTCGCAGAGGGGTCATCTGAGGTGAGGAATGGGCCACGCCTTCTGGAAAATAAGAGTAAGAGGTCGACGCTTGTGACCGTTCTCCGCGCGAGTATGTTGCGTACGCGGAGCTTCTGGGAGCTGGCGGTTCATCTCCACCAGGGGTCATTGGTGTGAAGCCTGGCCTCGTTCGTGTGCTTTGAGTTCGTGACAGACCCGGAAACCCCGGCAAAGGTTCTGTTCCAGAAGTGGAGCGGCCCGCATTCTTAAAGTCGTCCCAGCTTCTCTGTGGTCGTGGTGGGGTGTTTGGTGCATGGCTTGTGGGTCGCTCAGCGGTCGTATAGTGTGACGGCCGTGGGGGTGGCGGAGGCGCGAATCGTTCACCTGTTGGGCTCTGACCAGGTTTCATCTGCTGAAATCCTCTGAAGGCATCTGCTTTGCTCTGAGCCTCTTCTTTCGTCTTCTCCCATTGTTGTGCTCCTGCTCTGGCGTATGGTGCATACTTCTCGGGATTTATAGGAGGTGGATGGTGTCTAGGCCGGGGGTGATTGCCATTACCTGCGAAAGGGTTTTGATTTGTTGCAGTTGATGCTGCTCTCCGAGGAGGTGGAGGAAACGGAGATGGAGCAGGTGGTACAGGACCGCGTCGTGGTATGATCGGGGTACTGCTTTTGTGTTTTGCTCGATCTTGATCGTACTTTCGCTTCTGTTCCGGATCACTCAGAATCTCATGAGCAGCCTGCACTGCCTGAAACTTGGGAACAACGTCAACTTCTCTACCAGGATTGCGGTCTGGGTGGTATAGTTTCGCTACGAGATATCAATCAGCCTGCCACGGACGCATTTTTGGCAGAAGAACGCACCTAAGTGTCTGAAAGCTTTTTTGATTCTCTCTTCGGAGGCATTCGAAGGGATTTCTAAGTCGGCGTAGTAGTCGCGAGTTACATCCGCCTTGACCATTGTAGCAAGCCAATTTTCAGCATCCAATCACAATTGGATAGACTCAAATGATATCGCTTCCAATAGATAGTCTTGCTTCATTCCCTGACCCTGTTGGCATTGTTCAGTGCAGAAAGAGATCGGCGCTCTCGTTGGGAGATTTGAAGACAGACTGATAGCAGCACAAGGGTTACGAGGCAAATGCAGGCGTTCTGTAGTCCGCCGAACCAGATATCGTAAAGGTGTTACAGTGGCGCAAAGGGAAGGAGGACGCGAGGTTGTCAGCAGGTGCGCAGGTGGTGGAACGGAAAGATGCGCTTTGGTAGTCGAATAAAGAATCTTTGGGCAGCTTCTAGTCTTTCAAAGATAGCTGCTGAGAAGAATGTAAAATAAGCAAAAGCGGGAGTAGAAAGATGACTCAGTCGCAGACAAGATGGACAATGCTAATTGCTGACAGAGCCTGAGCCTCTATGACTTTTTCATGCGAGAGCGGGTGATGTGAGATGTTGAACACAGGCAAGGTCAGGTTACCGCAGCAAATGACTGCAGCGGCACCAGGCAGGACAGACCCCACAGAAGGAGGGATTTTCTTCTTTGCCGGCAGAATGATGTGAGTGGCCCTTTGCCGCCTCATTACACTGCAGTTGCAGCAGACGAACGATTTGCTGAATGAGGTTTATCCCAGGTTTGGTGTGCGTTGTCACTCCAACGCGATTTGCTCGGTGAGATGCACTTATCGTTCCTCAGGAATTTAGTTGAGGGACCAGGGACTAACTGAGAGACTCAATCCCGCCCCGACAGGATTTTAGCACGAATGTAATTAAGGCTGCATGTCCCACTGGCTACTGATCTGGGGTCTCGGGCACGGATGGAGCTTAAGTCAACCAATACCCTGAAGCCTAAGAGCCTTACAGGAGCACGCTTAAGAAGAGGATTCATCTCATGGAGTGAAGAAGCACGAGCGTGCAGCGGATCCTACTGATCCCAAACTTTCATTCCCCATAAAGCATAAAGTGAGGCTTGCTCGTCATCATGCAGATGTTCGCCGCCTTTCTAGCTAATCACATTATTTGCTCTGCTCTCGGCCCTTCGCTCCTCCTGACTCATCGTCCCGTCTGATAGAGCTTGGTGATGGATGTCTCTCAACGCTGCTGCAATCTCGTCTAGAAATATATTCACCTCCTTTTCCGTACCTACTGTGATCCGCAAACAGCCTTCGCAGCCCATTTCCTTGCCTCGAAACCGGACCACTACTCTTCTCTGCTCCGCCAGTGTTTCATAGACCGACAAAGCTGTCACGTTATCAGGTCTGCCCCCACTCTGGCGAGGCGCGTCAAGTATCTCAACAAGTAGGAAATTCGAGTCAGTCCCACCCAGGAAACGTCCAATACCTGGTATTTTGGGAAGCTCTTCCATCAAACAATCCCTTTGCTTCAAGATCTTGGCACGGTTTTCACGCATGACAGCAAGACTTTTTGACTCCAATGCGGCGATTGCCAATGCACTCGTTGGACTCGAAATATTGTATGGAGCTTTGAGGTTGTTAAGCAGTGCTGTGATGTCAGGACTTGAAAAGGCAGCTCCTAATCGGATGCCTGCCAGGCCAAATGCTTTACTCAGTGTCTGCATAACCACGAGATTTGGCCACTCTAAAACCCATTCTGCTAGACTCGATCCATCCGCAGCAAAGTCAATGTATGCTTCATCAAGCACAACCACCCCGTTCCATGTTGGATGTTGGAGCACCTGCTGTACGTCTTCCTTTTTAATCAAACTTCCCGTAGGGTTGCCTGGTGAGCAGACATAGACCATCTTGATACTAGCATCTGATGATAACGATTCATTGATCCTATCTGGCTGTAGCGCAAACCCCTTTGTCACGTTCAAAGGAACATGTACAATCTCAATATCGTTGACTTGCGCACTGACCGCGTACATACCATATGTTGGAGGGCATGTAAGGATCTTGTCCTTTCCAGGCACACAGAAACATCGTAGAAGAGCGTCGATGGCCTCATCTGACCCTACGCCGACGAACAAGTTCTCTGGTCTCAGGTCTTTCTGAGTGTGCACCTTAAAATTCCTCAAGCCGCACAATCGTCTTTTCAATTCGGCTTGATGAGGGTCGGGGTAGCGATTGAGACCGAGAAAGTTTAGTTGAGGACCTCCATCCTTTGCATATGTTGCTTGCTCTCGCATAATGTTCGAGTCGACCGAGATTCCAGGTCCATATGCATTCTCGTTCGCATCGAGTAGAATGTTGTTACCATCGTCCTTGTAATCACTGTTATCTCAGTATCCTGTGGGTGGAGGTTCTGGACAAATGCTTACTCTCTGGCGCAACGATAAGGCTTTAGCTTGAGAATATTTGGTCGAGCACAGGTATGCAGGTCAAAAGGAGAGAAAAGGCTGCCCATCATGAATCCTCTTGTTGCTAATCGTATAATTTCCCCGTTCGTTGATAATTTGGGAAATTTCTTGAAAAGCCAGGGCCCAGATTCGACCACTGCATGGCTAAGACCCATGTACGACTTGAAGGTGGGGGGGTTTTATTCCCGGCAGGGTCATGAGATTAACTCCGAGTTGAAATCAATGTTTGTTTTTCGTTCCTTTCGTATCAATTCGATGCGCCAACACAAAGCTTTTTGATGCAGCAACAGCAGAGGACTACCTTACCTACGGCGTCTCCATTCCGAATTTTGGTTGCTCTTCTGATCTCCCCTTATTACCAGCATGAGTGATCTAAAGAAGACAGCATATGGAGCTGCGGCAAGCGATACGGACTTTCGCAAAACGTGGGATCGATCAGAGTACGAAGCCAAGGCCAAGAAGGAGCAGGATGAGCGCCGTGAAGAAGGCAGGGCTCGTTATGAGGCGAAGCTTGAGGGCAAGAAATGGCACAAACCTGTCGACTTCTCTACTTTGGATGCCACATCATCCAGAGCTGGTCGCGTCGATGTCGCCAGCATGGTCGGCAAGAGCACTTTAATTCCTGCTGGTTCAGCCATTGGCAAACGAGGCCGAGGCGCTGGGTTTTATTGTGAGGCATGCGATCTGACATACAAGGACAATGTGCAGTACATCGAGCATCTGAATTCGAAGCAGCATCTTATCAATACTGGTCAAAGTGGAGAGGTCGCCAGGGCAACGCTCCAGGATGTCAGGAACAGGCTAGAGATGTTGAAGCAGAGGAAGAGGGAAAGGGAAGAAGAAGACAAGAGGATGGGTGAGATCGATCTAGATGCGCGGTTGAAGAAGACAGAGGATATTGAGGAGAGAGAAAGGGAGGAGCGGAGAAGAAAGCGAAATGAGAAGAGGAGGAAGGATGGGCAAAACGGGATAAAGAAAGAAGATAGTGGGTGGGAGGGAAGGTTAGGCATCATCTCCTGATCAGCTCCTTCGCCACAACCCGCGTACTTGTGCTTTTTCCTCTGTTTGATTCGACGTCCTATCCAATCCTCTTGCTCTTCTCTACGTCGGCGAATGAACAGCTTCAAGCCTTATGACTTAGAACTCTCAATGTTGTCAGGGGCACTTTAGGTGAGTGGTGCTGTTCACACCAATCACGTACAGGGAGATGTTTGGCAAGCGCTTCTCAGGTGAATTGCAAGGCACGCTCTAGGGCATATCAACTGCCTCTTGTACAGCTCAAAATAGTCAGGCCCTCAAATGTAAGGGCTTAAGAGATAAAGCTATGTCACACATATTTGCAGGGCACAGCATGGCTTCATCCAAACCTACAACAGCGCTATGGCCATTGTGTCATTTCATTTCTCACTAGCGAGGGGACAGTTATGGTGAAAACGGTATTCACACCCAAATCTTAACCGCGTCTTGGACCCAGTTGGAAGAACTATGATCTGATGAAAAGTCAGGGCCAGAAATTGACATGATTCTTGCCTCAGCCGCTTAGACAGGTTTAGTGGGCACAGCCACTCACGTCATGCTCGAATGAGCTTGCTGTTGTCGAAGTGTCTAGACTTGACACGGCCCAAAACTATCTCAGTGATCGTATGCCCTCTGGTGGTAATCCGAATCCAAGGCCCCCGAACGAGCAGATGATTTCTATTCGAGCTCACGAAACTTCTTCTCGTCTTCAGGCGTGAGTTCTTCTGCTTCTCGAGCCGGTACCCTCCATCCTCTCATATTCGGGCTTGGTGGTCGCTGTATATCAAGCTCCTCCGCTTTAGCGAGGTAACCAGCTAGATGATGATAGTCAAGAGCAATCACTCTAGTCAAGTCGGCATCAGGGGAGGTTGTTTTGAGGTTATTACCGAAGTCCTGGAGTTGGAACGTCATGAACCCTGGCTGGAGCTTGCCATTACTATATCGTACTACATCCCGTTCAACGACAGCCTTCATCCTCACAGCGTCTCCATCCTTTGATCGTATGAAATCTGCTCGCCAAACTGAGATTTTGCACGCCTTCTTCTTTTCTATTTCTAGGCCAATCACGAGTTGAATTTTGCCATCTGAGTCGACGATCAGGTCTTGAGCCTTACATCGTAGCGATTGGAAGGACTGAGAATATGCCAGTTCGAGAATAACTCCTGGATAATATGAGCCTTCAATGAGATACTGTCTATCGGGGCACGACGTGTATCTGAGCGATAAAGCTGGATCTGCCTAGAACAAAGACTATAAACGTTTTGTATGAATCGTCTGGTAGGTTCGTTCGAGGTTCTTTGATAGCGGCTAGTTGGGTTTTGATCGAATTACTGATCTTCTTAGCAACAAACTCGTGGATAGTACCAGCCATCTTTATAATAAGGAATTTATCGTTGATCAGATCATGTCTAAAAGTAGTCAAGATTTAGTAAATGATTTAAGTCCTAGCTTTGTTATAGATATCTTCCTTAGTTCATCTGATATGTATCCCTAAACCTTAGAGTTAGACTTGCATAGAGATTCTAAGGTCTTTGCATACGCTCCGCAAAGGTACGGTAGCCCCGAGGACTAGCAACCTCCCTGGCGTTTAAAGACGAAAAAAGCGGCGAGGCAATGGATTGACAATCTCAGTTACGCAGTAAAGGCTGTTACTAATTTTGTGAAGATCGTTGCTTTTTTCACGCAGGATGGTTGAAGTGTCATTAGCCTCACATGATCGTTGCTCGTTGCAGATGTCACAAGAGACGACACCAGTTGGATTCTCCTGAACCATCAAGCGATCCATTTTTGCAGCTTTTGTTCTCGTAGATGTTCTCACGGATGTTGTTTATATCAAAACGTCTACGACTTATACTCAGTCTAAATATACTCATGATAGAGGTCCGTGTGGCTGACTAACGCTTTTGGGAATAGTCGCCACACAATTTATTCGATGCAAGATGGTCCATAACCCGTGACAATAAATCGCTATCAGGCAAACCGATCCATACATTGAATTCAGTGTGTATTTTCTGCTTACCTATCAATAAAAGCAGGTTAGAAGTCTGCATACATAGAAATCTTGCTATCAGAAATTGTGGCCTGGATAGCTGACTCACTCCAAGCCTGAAATGCCAAAGCTATTCACCAACGTCAATCACCATCCGACTTCGCGCCAACACTCTTACATTGTTCAATCACCTTGTCACGTGTCACGTTGGAAGCAGGCGACGAGTGCGCGAGATCTTCAGCCCATGTTGAGTGCTATCCTAAGACTGCAGAGCCGACGAGGATGGCACTGGGGTCGCTCCTATATAGCGAGCATGCCCCTTACTAACGCGTAGTGCCAATCAATACCCGGCGGCCCTAGCGCTAGCGGCCGACAAGCATGGCAGCCGTGACACACCTCGTCATATATCTCAGTACTCCAATGTACGGTACGCTCTCTCTTTTCATGCCTTAGCCTTGACGAGCTATTTCTAATCCCACCAACTGTAGCCACCAACTGTAGAACGACCAAACTGCCAAGCCCGAAGACGTATAACCATCGAAACAGCTCCAAGAAGAACTTCCTCCGATGTGAGGAGGACTTACCATTACCATTTAATGAAATGATGGCCTCAGGATTCTGGTGTGAGTATGGAGGGACAAGGTAAGTTCAGATTTTCATGGAATATACTATATCGAAGTGAACTTGGCCTTCATACGGGGAGACCTGATCAATTTGTGTAAGACTTCATGTTCATCCTTGAACTCAATAAAGGTGTATAAACTTGTATATAGTCATATCAGTCCTACAAATTGTGTACAAATGATTCCTGTCATTATGTTTGCACCTGATACAAGGGATGTTGACGCATTTCAAGTCTCTACCATACCAGTGAACTCCATCCAGCAAACCCTTTACATGAAGCAGTCTGAGTCATTCAATCAGCTTTCATAGGGTATCCTTGTATGGATCATGCTGATTGCGCAAACAGCAATATTGATATTTGCCACGCACAAGCAATCTGGGCCTGCATACGTATCCTTCTTCCTACATTAAGACCTTGGCAGGCTGTCATGTTGTGGCACTGAAACTGAATCTCTTTGGCAAGTCAGTGAATACTGTCATGGTCACCTCCTGGAAGCGGCCTGCTTCGGTTGTCTTTGCTTGTGACGTTTCTAGTGGTTCGAGAAACACATTTCACTCGTGAAACACCTGATCTGGCACTACTATAAATATATATCTGCTACCTATCCTCAACGATTGCTATGTCAAAGAAATTTTCTCTTACGCACCGAGACCGCCTAATACCCTCTTTGTTACAACTCGTCTTTATCCTGATTCCGGGGCCTGATTTCTACCAGTATTCGAACCATTCTTCCTTGATGATGGAGCTCACCAGAAAACCCTCAGAGCTTGGCTTGTCCCTGTCAAATGCCAAAGCCACAAGCTCTGCCAACCACCCATTATCCGCTCCAGTACCGAAGGCCGCCAAGCCGTTTAAAGACAACAAGAAACAGTCGTCCAGAAGACATCCACGAAGAACTGTGTCAAATAAGAAGACGAATTGCATTCAAACCATCTCCTTCTTCGATCTTGCTCGCGAGGTTCGTGATATCATATATTTCAATGTCCTGCGCCCGGACTGTGCAATGAGTTATGGAATCTCTGAGGCCAATATCTATCGCTACAAGAGTTGTTATAAGCTTCATCCATGTATCAAAAACCGGCCGGGGCTGTACGAAAATCTTGGTTCTGAACAAACAAGTACATTTCGAAGCGATCGGCCTACTCAACGCCTTTGAGAACATCATCAGGATCTCCAGTAAAGGTGCCAGACTATTCCGTAACGCGTACGAGCATGGTATGCCGGGATTTTTCGCCTGTGACAAGAAAACCTCCCACTGCCGCCTGGGACCAAGCCTTTCAGAGCTTCAGGTCTTACGCCTTCGACATCTTGCTGTAGAGGTTCGGTACCCTGTCTTCACCGTAAACGATAGCTATACCTATCGAGAAGATGTTGTCAAGTTGGGCACTGAGATCAAGCAGATTGCCGCTGTACTTCGCAGATGTCGTTCCATGCAGACGTTCCGGTTGATCCTGCAGACTAAAGTGGTCGACGATGATTGGTCTGACGGCGCGGAGACCTGGTCTCCGCTAGCACCTAAAGACCATCCTGATGTGCAAACGCTGTTGCCGCTCTTTCTGGATGCAGCTCAAGCTAAATGCATCAAAACAGCCGCAGAAGAGCAAAAGCACTTCAGTGTTGGTCAATATGACAAGTCTGCTCACAAAACCGACGACTACACTGATCCATTGGTGGCCTGTTACAATCAACAGGCTTTCGACCGTTCCATATACGCAGCGTTTGAGCAGTCATACGACGATCAGATCGTCTCCCGTGGCTTTGAGCAGGAAGGTAGAGTCCGACAACGGGCAACTGTCGGAAACCGTTGTCTGACTTCAGAATCAATGGAGGATACAGAGTGGGGTTTCCTGAAGATTGCGCGCTCGAACGTCAAGCAATACATTCACAAAGATCCTGACGAAGAATGGGAGCTGCTGCAAGAATGCCGCAAGTGCTACCAGATATTCGACTCTCGCGAAGATCTTGACGCACACCTTGAGCTTAGACCTAAGCACAGAATGCCCTTCGTGCGTAAGACTTACAACATGCTCCACCCTCGGGCTAGGCATGGAGGAGAACGTAAATGCTGGACCTGCGCGGCGGAATTTAGCTACTTAGACCAAGTGAATGAACACTATGCGAAGACTGGCCATGCACGCAATCATATGATACCTCGCTGGAAGCAAGACAATGGTTGGACCAATCGTTTGGAAATATCGCTCGAGTGTTTAGTCTGAGTTTTGTACCCGAAACCCATCGCGCTGAGCAGTGCTTGTGTGTTAAGCCCCCAGCCTTTACTGTGATCTTATTCTGTGCTGACATGAGATCTCAGTACTGATATTGACATGAGATAAGCCTCTTGGCACCAGCACTTTCACAACCGACTGTCTACATACACGGAGCTGTGGTGCTGCAAACCACGTCCCTAGCTTACCCAACTTCTTTTCCGAATAGCGTTCGAGCTTATGTATTGATGAACTTGTATGATTGCCCTAAAGTTGTTAATAGTGAAGATGGGAGGAACGGTGAACTGGAAATTGAAGCTGTCAAAGGATACTGTTGATCTTCTGAGAAGGCCTATTGGTCAGGTTTCATTCGCGTAATCCCTGCGTTTTTCCTGCTTTTGATTGGTCAACTTCTACTGCAATTTCGGTTCTAATTTCGCTGTACGGCACAGCCATTTGTACATAAATCCCCGCTCTCTACCCCCTTAGCTATCGATCAACTTGCTTTCTACGCACTCTGCACAGCAGGTCGACAGATACTCATCATATGACCGCTGACCATGGTCTTGCCATATCGACAACTGCTAAGGGATAGATTTCGCTTATTGAAAACAGTTTCAGGAACTCACGACGGTGACTTGCGCTTCCGATTTACGCATGTTGTCCCGAATCAGGTACAAGAGTACACAGCTGTATCGTACACCTGGGGAAATGATGCGAGAAGTGAGATCATCTACGTCGATAACCAGCCTCTTACGATCTCGCCAACCCTTTGGGCTTGCCTCCACTGTCTGCGGGAGAAATGGCAATATATTTGGGCTGATGCAGTTTGTATCAATCAGGACAACGTGACCGAGCGAAACGAGCAGGTTCGCATCATGGACCAGATCTACTCAAACGCTGCTATCGTATCCGTGTGGTTGGGTAACATACCGTTACCACCACAAGTCAACTTCGAAGGCCGCATTGCCAATTTGGAGGTCGACTACTTGGACTGGGAAGAGTCAATGTATGATATAGCAAGTCGGCCTTACTGGTCAAGAACCTGGGTTATTCAAGAATTCTTGCTGGCACGAGTGGTGCATATCTACTGCAGCAATACTCGAATTGATGGCGATCTCTTTCAGGATATGTTATCGAATGCAGCTGGCATAGATCTCTTCTCAGTCGAAGTCGCAGACACCGTAACACAGCCAGACCTCATACAAAAGTGGCCAGCTTTGCCATTCGTGATTGGACGGCATGCCGACCGGTATCCACAGCTACGTCAGCCACTCTATGATCTCCTCGCTGGCCATGTAAATTCGCAAAGCAAGGATCCGAGAGACAAAGTATTCGCGCTTCTTGGACTGCTGCCTACGGAAGAACGCTCTTCCCTCGAGAGAAGCTTTCCGGATTACGCTTTGAGCAAGGAGCAAGTATATATTGTAACGCTTGCCCATGTACAACATTTCTCGGGAGATCAGCCCATTGAACCTATTTTCAGAGCATTGCACATCAACCAAGCCACAGAGATTACCCGGCTGATGAAGATCGTCGAAATTTTTGATTACATTGATGCAGACAACCCGGCTGCAGAGGCAGAATTCATGGCGACGGATTGGTCCGGAAGTATTGAAGAGGACTCGAGGTCACCGATAATATACTAGAACAGTGTCATGATAGTAAACTCGAGCACAACATCAAATAATCTATTTCAGCAGGGCAGTCACCGTCGAAAATTTGAACTTAGTTGGATTGTCAAGGGTGCAGGACTTGTTGTGGGTGTCTTTCTGATATATGCAGGCGCAGTACACATAAGGAGACAGTGACTGACGGCGACGACTTCTGGAACCGCGTGTTTATTCAACGAGGATAGTTACTGATTGGGTTCTCAACCTTATATCTAGTGCCTCCTGCTTTATCAACCAAACCCTCTTGGACCTGACTATTAGTTGAGACTTGTCTTAACCAGTTGAGCCCTAATAATACACCATTTCTAAGGATTTAATGCACTATCCCTCCATAGAGGTTCTAAAACTGGGCTACTAGACCCTCGCGTAAAACTGACAAAGGTTCGAAGAAACGACTAATGCGGGCCAGAAATAGTCCACTAACAAAAAGATCTTCTTACATTTGCTAAATCTCTATCCAGTCAATGTAGTGATGATGATACCTCCTTATTCACAACGCCCCTGGACTTCGAGGGATTGATCCAATTCCTGTGCTTTTCAATCCAATATATTTACACAACAGAATTTCATTCATATTGCGCTTCCTTTGCATTTAAATGTCTGCCTC